CTGAATATATATTTTCTTCTTGGAAACTCACACATCAACACGGAAATCTTATTAATAGAAAAAGCTATTTTAGGTACCTAAAAGTCATTTAAAACTCTATAACTGATAGTTTTCCCCTCTGAATCCTAGGAAATTGGATTAATAGTATGGATAAATGAAATACTGTGAGGTAGGGAGGAGTCCAAAAATTCTCTGTGATTTCTTATTAAAATATGTCTCTAAAGCACAGTTATTTTTCCTCTCAAATATTTGGCATACCAAAAAAGTGAAAAACCATAATGAGGTACAAATATTTTATTAACAGCCCTTTGAAATGTTTCATGAATTATTTGTGGGACAAAGAATTCTGATGCAGTCTCTCTATTCCATCTCAGCACAAAAGCTTTGGTATCACATGAAATGCAGTTCACTACTTCCTGTGTGAATATGGGAATATATTCTATTGGATATTTTTTTCAGTTATAGCAATTGTTAATATACTATCCCTAATTGATATACAGCAACTGCACTGCAGCCGTGCACTCAAAGCCAGAACTGCAAACTCACCCAGAAGCCATTACCAAAGAAAATCCCACAGCTACACCCCTGCTTATGATTCTTTTTCTTTTTTTTTTTTTTTTTTATTCCGGGAAAACCAGACCTGAAAACTCTGAGATAGACAACAAGTCCATTTTACCATTTTCTCCATTCTTGTTTACTTGCTTCCATGAAAATATTTACTGTTCTATAAAAAGAATCAAATCAAAAGTATTCTTATATATTTTCTGATCCAGATTTGATCTGTTCAAGTGCATAGGTGGTAACAGCTAAGAGTGTGATTTGAAATGTCTCAGAATGGATTCAAGTCTGTCTTCTCTCCGATCCAGAGTAGAGCTTCTAAATCAGCTTCTAAATCCCTTCTAAATCAGGCAAAACAGGAACATGCATTTCAGTTCCTGCTGATATTTTAGTCCAAAGGCTGCTGCTGCAGCAATACCTTTTTCCACCAAAAATATTGTTATCATCCTCTTTCCTCTCACACTTTTAGAGCCCTCTTGTGAGAATCAAAAGTAATCTGAATATGGCTCACTAGTTTAGCTTCTGCTGGATGATTTGTTGATATAAATTTGGCTTCAATTCTGTCTGAAGATTAAAGACTCAACAGCACGCATGTTACTGCCAACTTCAACCATCTGTCATTTACTCTCAAGTACATTTTAGCTGTGATATTTACCTGCTTGCTGCTGTTTTGTAAACAGAACACAGAACGATGGATAACTTAACCTTTCCAAAGCCCTTACCTCTGGTTTAGTACCCAGTCCCCACACCTTACTTAGAGTTCCCAAACCAAACCCTCATCAATTTTTTTCCCTTGTGATAATTTAGCAGCTAGATAACTAAAATATGAAAACTTTTATTTTGAAGCAGTATTCAAACACTTCAAAATATCCAAGACCTTTCATAATAATGTCTTATTAAAATTATTATTTCCAATACATATTATATGTATATATAATGCATGAAATAAAATCAAAGCCATTTGCAAGCAAGCTGCATTACTTGTCAACAAAGAGAGCATTATACAAAGTGAGATAAATTTCTGTGTAATTTATGCCATAACATCAGCAGCAGGTCCATTTCATTACTAATAGGATGTCAGACTATCATAGAATCATAGAATGGTTAGGGTTGGAAAGGACCTTAAGATCATCAAGTTCAAACCCTTTGCCATAGGCAGGGACACCTCGCTCTAAACCATATCACCCAAGGCCTCGTCCAACCTGGACTTGAACACTGCCAGGGATGGAGCATTCACAACCTCCCTGGACAACCTATTCCAGTGCCTCACCACCCTAACAGGAAAGAATTTCCTCCTTATATCCAATCTAAACTTCCCCTGTTTAAGTTTTAACCCATTACCCCTTGTCCTACCACTACAGTCCCTAATGAAGAGCCCATCTCCAGCATCCCTATATGCCCCCTTCAGATACTGGAAGGCTGCTATGAGGTCTCCACACAGCCTTCTCTTCTCCAGGCTGAACAGCCCCAACTTTCTCAGCTGTTCTTCATATGGGAGGTGCTCCAGTCCCCTGATTATTCTCGTGGCCCTCCTCTGGACTTGTTCCAACAGATTCATGTCCTTTTTATGTTGAAGACACCAGAACTGCACACAATACTTCAAGTGAGGTCTCACAAGAGCAGAGTAGAGGGGCAGGATCACCTCCTTCTACCTGCTGGTCACGCTCCTTTTGATGCAACCCAGGATACGGTTGGCTTTCTGGGCTGCAAGCGCACACTGCTGGCTCATGTTCATTTTCTCATCGACCAGCACCCCCAGGTCCTTCTCCGCAGGGCGGCTCTGAATCTCTTCTCTGCCCAACCTGTAGCTGTGTCTGGGATTGCCCCGACCCAGGGGTAGGACATTCACAACATAGGATATTCACTAAGACTGCAAATTATTAGGCAATTTTGTTGTACAGTTCAGTTGTTAACAGTCTTCGAGGGACTTTTTTGTATTACTGCTTTCTGAATTATATCAGTGAATCTGTGCCTTTGAATAGGCTAGAATTACTTCTATGATGTAGAAATAGTATATAAATAGCATCTACAACTAACCAAATTTGTTAATTTGGTTATGCAGTTTCTCAAAATGAAAGGTTTAAACCCAGATTTCTTCAGATGTGTGTACAGTCTTGCCTGTACTCCTTTGATGTACCTTGAAAAAGGAATTTCTGAACAAGAATTCAGATACAGGTTGGGCAGAGAAGAGATTCAGAGAAGCCCTGCAGCGATGGACTTTGGGGTGTCGGTTGATGAGAAACTTAACATGAGCTGGCAGTGTGTGCTTGCAGCCCAGAAAGCCAACTGGGCTGCATTCAGATTTATCATGACCAGCAGGTCAAAGGAGGTGATATTGCCCCTCTGCTCTGCTGTCCTCTAATGAGACCTCACTTGGAGTAGTGTGTACAGTTCTGATGTCCTCAGCATAAGAGGGATGTGAAGCTGTTGGAGCAACTCCAGAGGAGGGCCACAAGGATGATTAGGGGTCTGGAGCACCTCCCGTATGACGACAGGCTGAGAAAGTTGGGGCTGTTCAGCCTGGAGAAGAGGAGGCTTCATGAAGACCTCATAGCAACCTTGCAGTATCTGAAGGTGACCTACAAGGCTGCCAGAGAGGGACTCTTTATTACAGACTGTAGTGATAAAACAAAGGGCAATGGGGAAGTTTAGGTTACATGTAAAGAAAAAGTTCTTAACTGCAAGGGTGGTGAGGCACTGGAATGGATTGCCCAAGGAAGGTGTCAATGCTCCATCCCTGTCAGTGTTTAAGGCCACGTTGGACAGAGCCTTGGCTGACGCAGTTTAGTGCAAGGTGTCCCTGCCCATGGCTGGGGTTTGGAACTAGATAATCTTAAGGTCCTTTCCAACCCTAATTATTCTATGATTCTACGATTTTGTAATTCACTGTTAAGAGGAGGATGGTGTTATAACACTGTATTTGGGGCAGGACCTACTGCAAAGAGTGGGCTAGTATTCACTGGCCATTTTTTATTTACATAAAAATGTATAACAAAAACATTGAAAAGAAGGAAGCAACACCTTGTCTAGACAAGTATAGAGAGATGAGTATGTTGGAGAGAAAGTGAATAAATGGGAATAACATGAAACTACCACTACCGATCATTTAAACAGTTGAAAGAACAGTGATTGCTGTTAGAAAAATTTCAAATTTTCTTCCTTGTTCCCTGAGAAAGGTCTGGTATGGTGTCTACACGACCCTCTACAGAGAATTTGTTATGCTAGAATGATCTGGCTTTGTTCCTTTATTCTAGAAACCCACTTCATAACCACTTTTTCTTGGGGATCATTTTCAGTAAGGACGCACAATATTACAAGAAGAAAGAAAAGACTTTCTTAGTCTTTACCTGCCCTGATTGTTAAGCAACCCCTTAAAATCTTACTTTTAGTAGTTGAGGGTAGCCTTTGGAAGAGAACAACCCCTTTCCCCTTCCTGCACACCACCTGATAGAAGGCGATTGTCCATTAAACTCACTGACCATCTGAGCTCTATGGTCAAAGTGCTGACAAAAGAGCTAGTATTTATTTTATGTCCATCATCTCCTGCTTGTGTCTTGTTTATGATTTGTCAGTGTATTTAGCTGCCAGGTTAAAACTATAAAATATATCTCTATGTCAGTGGGAAATTTTCTGTGTAAAACATAATGTTAGTAAATAAAAGCTTGAGTGTTACTCTACTAATAGAGTAGGAAAAGGTTAGCAAAAGTCTAACACTGGCTTTTGTGTTTCTGGATGCTCTCTCTCTTCCTTTTTCTTAGTTAACCCCATGATAACTATGGAGGTGGAGGTTTTAGCATTAATCTCTTTAAGCTGTCAGCTGTTATTGTACGTAAGAAATACCAATCATGGGGAAAGCTTAGGACTACTGCATTTAAAAACAAAGTCTGAGGTATTAGTACACCAAGGTGCATGGGCTCAACTACAGGGGCCTCACACTGAACTCAGTTTTTCAGTTCTTAAAGGCACCACCAGTTACAGCAATGCTTTTTACTGAACTCATTATTTCCTTTTTACTACAATCCTGTGTTTCAGTTCATCTTGCTTGATGTTTACAATTCTATAATATTTCTATTTTTCTTAATTTGTAAGGAGCATAAACTACCACCTGCTGTCAGGAAGAACTCTCCAGCTTCTTGAATACGAGCAATAACTTCCTTATAGTCTGATAACAAAAATGTGTAATTTTTTTGCCATGTTTGAGCCGTACTACACACATGGTATTTTTGCCATGTTTGAGCCGTACTACACACATGGAATTGCCTACAATTTGAGAAGTGTAATTACAGCCAGAGAGCTGTAGAAATTTTGAAGTGACTGTTCACTGGAAACAAGAGAGAAAACTATTATCAGTGAATGAGAAAGAATATCCACATAAACTCTTTTCCCTGCAATATAGTTAAATGACATAAGTATAACTTGCTGAATATATTCAGCCAACTTACCAATTTCCACTGGGAGATGGTTGATTCGATTTTTTGACAACTCCAGTACTGTCAGATCTTGAAATAATGCAATGTAGGCTGGAATGGTTTGTATCAATGTATTGCACACATGCCACTCTTTCAGGTAGATCTGTTCTTTCAGCGAATCTGGAAATTCCTGTGAATTAAGTAAGAACAGGTAAATCAAAAGCATTAAGTTAGAACTTTGTTCTACCATGTTTCTAAATACAGGGGGCAAAAATTCCACAGACAAATGTCAACACTTTGCCTTAATTATCTCGGTGTAGAACAGTTTGCCAAACCATCATAGGAGCAGTTTGCTTTTGAAGAGCATTGCAGCTGCATGTCACCACATGTTCATTTTTTAGCTCCTGATGCAATCTTTTTGCTGTAAAACTGAAACTTATCTGAAGTACTTGATCTGGTTGGTATCTCCCATACTACCTCTTTTTCCAACTGGAGGACTTTTCTTTAAAACATATTTCAGTGCTTTAATTCACACATCAAGATGTAGTAAAATGCAACACAGAAGAATGAATGTATAAAGAATATTTAAATAGGACATGCCATTAAAAAAAATAAGTGTGTCTATGTTCTTAATACCTGCCAATGTTTCAAAATTTTTTTGCCAAGGTAGAACACAGTCCAAGGAACAGAAACATTTTAGATAGGCCACACACATACCACTTCTTCAGAGTGTTTTTTTTTCAAATAAGTGACTTTACTTCTGAAGTTATTTCAGCAGTGTTTGAGAATTTCTTACTAAATTTCTTTAGGAAGAATAAAAATACTCAATTTTTAAATCAGTCCACAGTTGCAATTAATTCTTGCTTTAGTCATGCAGAATCTGTTTCTTTAAGATTTCTAGTATTGCTCCAGATATACAGGGAAAAAATGTTGCTTCTGAGTCATTGTCCAAAATCTCCAATGTATAACAGTTACTGAAACTAAAAGTTTTAAAGCCTTTAATTCTTAGAAAATTGCTTTACTTAATTGGTATTCAGTTCAGATGCACACATCTTTCTTTGAATTATGTTATCAAATTCCTTGAACAAGAGACAGACAAAAATCAATTCTTAAAGTCAAAGGTCAAACCATTTAAACTCCTCTTTCTAAAGCAGCATATAATTTACCAGTTTGTCCTGGTTTTTAAATAACTGTACATTGGAAACATCTGGAATAAATAATCAGGGCATGGTGCCATCACTAACCGAATTCCATAAAAAGAGATGTAAGAGTTTCAGCCTTTAATTCCTTTATAACTTCCAATTTTTTTCCTGTGCATAAAGAATACAACACAGTAGGAATTACTAGGGTTTATACAAAGAACTTCGCCCACCTTTTTGTTTTCTTTGATATTTCATAGATTGGCCAAGACAGTATCAAGAGTTATGCATTTTAATTGGTTTTTTATTAGTTCTGAACTTCTGAGCTAGGAATATTGATACTTAATTCTTAGCTAAATTAAAACATCCAGCTGGCTATTGCTGCCTGTAATACCAGTTCTGTTTCAATTTCCACATGCAGACACTTAGCCTGTATGCATAGTTCTACCTTGCTACTTGCCCTTCAATATTTGGTATGGATCATTTAATTTCTTGCTTCATTTTATCACTCTGTGTATATTGCACTATGATCCATATTCTATATTTGCCAGTTTATGGCATTTAAAAAATAAAATGCCTTAAGGCTGATGGGAAGAAATCTCTCCAACCTTCTGAACTGGGTTTCCACCCCTCCATCTTCAGAAATCTGCAGAAAAATAAAAGAATGAATACCAACCGCTAATTCGATTAGCACTGTATTTCTCACATGTACAGAATTGAGAATGCAGCACATAGGGGATAGTATTTAGCTGGAGTGTCATAGATGCCACTGTATGGAAGAACCCTGATTCACAGAGAAAGTAGATGAAGAGTAGTCACACTGGAGGGAAAAACAATGTCTGGGTAACATATACCATTTGCCACTCTATTTCTCCACACTCCAAGTCTGTCTTTGCTTTTCTACTGATCTGCTGGTTGTCTGCACCTTTTTGTCACAACAGATCATCTCCAGCTCCTCACTGGCCTATACAGCAGAGAGCAAAGGGGGATGGATGCTTTGCCTCGTGAAGCCAAGATCTTTGCTGTTTTCCCATTCCAGAGGGGATATCCCAAAATATTTTCCTTGATATATTGAAAACAGTGCAACACATTAAGTAAAAATTAAGCCAAAATAGTTTAGAAGTTCTTCATTACTAGTGCAAAAAAAAAAAAAAATTTCCGTAGTAAGAGTAGTTTAAAGCACCAAGATACTCTCGTGCAGCAACTGAAACACATACATAACTTCAGAAGGAGGTTCTATTCTTCTGATTGCACTGACTTACTATACTTTAATGAGATTATTTCTTCATCGCTTATAAAAATATTTACAATTTGCAAATGTAAGTTTATAAATACTTCACTGTAATGTGAGGGGGTTTAGCATTCTCTATCTTACAATACATTTTATTTTTGTTGCTGAAACATAAATTGATGTGATATTTTACTTCATTTACAAACTAGATAGGGATGGGAACTGAAATTTGCACAAGCTTTATGTTTGCTTTACCCTCTGATTCCCTTGTGTTCTTTTGTAATCTTCTGCTGCCATGCTAAAGCTGGCAGACTGCTGATAAATAGTTCCATGAAGACTGACACTTGGAGGATAGCCAGTCTTTTGCCTTTAACAACAAAACAATACCTCTAACTCCTTTGATTTTCGGGAGAGAAAATAAAAGGAAATAAATAGCAAACCTACTATGGTTTCTGATTATACTGTTTCTAATTAGGGCAGAATTTACCTGCTAGACATGAGCCTGAACTAAAACTGTTCATCAAAGATCTCACAATTTTCAGTTCTGTTTCTTTTTCAGCTCCGTGGTTTTATCTGTCATACACCAAACCAAAACTTTGAATCTAAATCTCCCTCATTTTTGAACAAGTTTGGAGCTAGTTCCAAAACTAGTATGTCACAGGGCCACCTGTATTACATGGCTATATGAGGAATTTTATTCTTTTGCGGGGAAAAATCTCTGGATATTAAATAAGCACAAGAGACATTTTCTCTGTCCATTCAATGCAGCTATTTTACTTAACCCTTTGTGTCAAATGAATACCTTGCTGTCACTAACAATGACAAGGGAATAACAAATGCAAATTCTTTGTTCTTTGTGAATATACACGCTATGTTGCATGATAAATCTGGGAGAACAAATACAAATGTACTAATTTATTTGCTGCATTTTTCTGCAAAGAAATTATATGTAAGAAAGTAATGGTGTACCAGTAAAAAAAATTTATCTTTTTTCATTCACTTTCTTCTGCATATTTGACATTAAAGTTGTTTAAATTAAGTGTACATCCAGATCCTTTCCTTAGTAAAACAGCACAGCCAAGAACAGTCCTGCTCTCTATTAGAGTGAACATCATCACCTTTCCTTTGCCAATATTGATATCACAAATTCAAAAAAATTGTTTTTCCTTAATATTTGCTGAAAATCATTTCAAATTCACTGATCCCCTAGAGATTAAATATTCATTAGTTTGAAGCAGAAAGTAAACAATCTCAGAGGGGAAAACAGGCTTAAAGTGGATACATTGAAAAATTCATGTGAATATTCATGACATTATTTTGCCACAGTTTTCATTCTTCTCTAATAGCAACGCTATTTCTCTGAAGAACTGATTTAATTCAGTAGATACTTGTTTACATCTCATTTAAGTGTTTCATCAACTCTCCATTATTTTCTCTAGGCAACTGATTCAAACACATGAGTCCAATGTCCTTACACAGCTCCTTTTCACAGTGAGTTTGTCTGGAAAACTGACAGATAAATATAAAGTTTTTCTGAAATATACTTTGCAATCATCAAAAAACCTGTGTCACAATACACCATTCTTGTGCTGTCAAGTCCCAAGTGTTTTGAAAACACTTGCTGCTGGGGAAATACAATAGGGTTCTGCCCAATTTTCATAAAGAGAAAGGGCTGTCTGATTTCATTCATAACATCAGATTATGACAGCAGTTAGCCATTTGTTTTTATAAGGCCTTTTCTTTCCTAAATATAAATATTAATTCATTACTGTTTGCAGCAGGGAAAAATGCACCACACAGGGTTGTAGACACTTAGAATTATAGAATCATAGAATGATTAGGGTCGGCAAGGACCTTAAAATCACCTAGTGCCAACCACCCTGCCATGGGCAAGGGCACCTTCCACTAGACCAGGTTGCTCAAGGCTCTGTCCAACCTGGTCTTGGAAACACTGTCATGGATGGAACACTCACAGCACACCTGGGCAACTTGTTCCAGTGCCTCACCATCCTCACAGTAAAAAGCTTCTTCCTTATACCTAAGCTAACTCTCTCCTGGTTAAGTTTAAATCCATTACCCGTTTTCTTACTACCACCATCTATGATAAAGAGTCCTCCAGCTTCCTTGTAGACCCCTTCAGATACTGGAAGGCTGCTATGAGGACCCCAGGAAGCCTTCTCTTCTCCAGGCTGAACAGCCCCAACTTTCTCAGCCTGTCTTCACACAGGAGGTGCTCAAGCCCCATGATCATCCTCATGGTCCTCCTCTGGACTTGCTCCAACAGTTCTGTGTCTTTCTTATGTTGGTGTCCTGGGTTCAGCAGTAGCAGTCATTTTTATCCTTCTTAGTAGCTGCTGCAGTGCGATGGTTTTGACTTTCAGCCTGGGAACAGCACTGATAACAGTGATGTTTTTAGTTACTGCTCAGTAATGTTTACTCTGACCAAGGACTTTGTGAATCTCACACTCTGACAGGGAGGAGGGGAAGCCAGGAGGAAGCAGAGTCAAGGACATCTGACCCAAACTAGCCTAAGAGGTATCCCATACCACAGCACGTCATGCCCAGTATATAAACTGGGGGCAGTTACCCAAAAGGCTAGATTGCTGCTCAGGTCGGGCTGGGTATCGATACGTGGGTGGTGAGCGGTTGTATTCTCTTCCCTTGTTATTTCCCTTATCATTATTATTTTGGTGGTAGCAGTAGTAGGACAATTGGGAACACCAGAACTGTATACAGTACTCCAGGTGGGGTCTCACAGGAGTGGAGGGGAAGATTTATCTCCCTTCAACTACCAGCCATGCTCCTTTTAGTGCAGCCCAGTATAAGGTTGGCTTTCTGGGCTGCGAGTGCACACTGAAGCTGGTTCATGCTCAGTTTCCCATCAACAAACTCCCCCAAGTCTCTCTCAGCAGGGCTGCTCTCAACCCAGTCTCCACCCAACCTGTAGCTGTGCCCCAACCCAGGGACAGGACCTTGCACTTGGCATTGTTGAACTTCATGAGGTTGGTATTGGCCACCACTCAAGTGTGTCAATGTCCCTCTGGATGGCATCCCTTCCCTCCAGTCTGTCGACTGCACCACACAGTCATCAGCAAACTTGCTGAAGGCACACTCAATCCCACTGCCTACATCATCAACAAAGATGTTCAGCAGGATCAGTTCCAACACCGATCCCAGAGGAGCACCAGTCGTGCACAAGTCCATGGGACCTGATGAAATCCATCCGTGGGTCCTGAAGGAGCTGGCAAATTAAGTTGCTAAGCCACTGGCCATCATATTTGAAAGATCATGGCAGTGAGCTGAAGTTCCTTACAACTGGAAAAAGGGAAATATAACCCCCATTTTCAAGAAGGGGAAAATGGATGACCCAGGGAATTACAGACCAGTCAGTCTCACCTCTGTGCCTGGCAAAATCTTGGAGCAGATTCTCCTGGAAGGCATGCTAAGGCACGTGAAAAACAACAAGGTGCTTGGTGACAGCCAGCATGTGGAGACCTCATAGCAGCCTTCCAGTATCCGAAGGGGGCCTGTAGGGATGCTGGGGATGGACTCTTCATTAGGGAGTGTAGTGATAAGACAAGGGGTAATGTGTTAAAACTTAAATAGGGGAAGTTTAGGTTAGATATAAGGAGGAAATTCTTTCCTGTTAGGGTGGTGAGGCACTGGAATAGGTTGCCCAAGGAGGTTGTGAATGCTCCATCCCTGGTAGTGTTCAAGGCCAGGTTGGACAAGGCCTTGGGTGATATGGTTTAGAGCAAGGTGTCCCTGCCCATGGCAGGGGGGTTGGAACTTGATGATCTTAAGGTCCTTTCCAACCCTAACCATTCTATGATTCTATGATTCTATGATTACTGGTCTCCACGTGGGCATTGAACCATTGACCGTAATTCTCTGCATACGGCCATACAGCAAAATCTGTATCCATCCAACTGATCCATGTCTTGAGTCATAAATATGTGACTGGTAGGCAGAAGAGAAGGCAAAGACCACTGAACCTGAAGGATGTTGTCACACAACCTTTTCCAGGTGAAGCTTTTAAAGACAGAGATAAATCTCATCACTGCAGTTATCAAACACTGTCCACTGCCAGTAGCTAACCACCCTGAACAGGCATGGCCAACTGGTCAAACCAGCTAACCACCCTGGCCAAACCAGTACCCAGTTACAAGAGGATTTTCAGATTCAGAGGGACTCACTGATTATATATTCTTCAGGTATAAAAATTCTTGATACTAATGCTTGATAATCAGAACACTGTGGTTCAGAAGATTTCCATTAAGTTTAATGCAACCAAACTGCTAGAAAACAGCTGTGACTTGAGATGTCTAGAAGCTCAAACTGCATGTCTCAAAAAGTTAGCCTAAAATTGAATGATAGCTAGTAAGAATTAATGATCCACAATGAATTATGGATCTGCATAATCAAAATACAATCCCTCAGAATTCAAATTCTGTAAAATCAAGCCCTAATCTCTTTAGCTAGTACTCTGTGCCTATTTGTCTAACCTAATATTCATTGTATGAGCTTTATCTTTCCTCAGATATGTTAGAATAATTACTTTATATGTACAAGGAACAGTGGGTCTCCACCTAATGAAAATACATTAGCTTTTCAATGACATTTGAGAGGTGGGAAAAGTGATGCAGAGGTGCTAAAGGAAGAAATTCTATCAGGAATTCAAAATGTGTGATTTGCTCCTATATTTTGCCTTACAAAAGTGCTCTGAAGGAGACCCAAGATGATTTTCAAAAGAGCACTATCCAGATAATTTTCAAAATAATTGTCCAAGCTATCCCAGTATATGATGGAGTGGTTTACAAAACTTATTTTTAACTTCATACTCAACAAGGCAGAACCAGTGAGCCAGATTCACTCTTATGCCGTATGGATATGGAGCATGGAACAGTAGCATCTTTGTAACATGTCTACGCTTTTAACATCTAGAAAGCCTGTGATCAGTGCCCAACACAAGCTACCACTTTAATTGATTGAAACATTGAAAATAATACCATTAGTTGATAGAAGTTGATTTGTGGACTCAGTTCATTTGTTGCTGAAGTTTCAAGTGAGAGCTCTTAAACTGAGACTTATGGAAAGGGTGTGGTAAAGCCACTTGCTTCAATCTTGCAAAATCCCTGTGCTGGGGATTACTCTTCTGTGAGAGTTAGCTTCACAGAGTCCAGAAAGAGAACTGGTACAGCCCAGAAGCAAGCCCAGTTCTCAAAATTCAATCTGTAAGACATACTAGAAACCTACTCAGATTTAGCTATCAGCTGTCTAGAGGATATATTACTGCTTCAGTGATGAGAAGAAAGGGGAAACATAATAGAAATACTTATCAACTAAAAGCAAGCGGAAGAGAGGATTCTGCAGCTAGTTCCAAAATGGACACTTCACAAGACTGTGCTGTTTGCCGCTGCCAGAGGTAAGTAGACAGCCAACAGCAAACCAAGATGGTTATGTGCCTGTAAAATTGCACAAACAATCCCTCCTATGACTTCTCCTAGTGTCTGAGTGCTTAATCATCCAAACTTTGAACTCATAGTTGTATTTGTGTGCAAAAGACATTACAGGAACTATACCACAATTGATGCCACATCTCCCAGCTACATGACATCCCAGCTTCTCTGGGAAAACTGTCACCTATCCACGTCTTTTCACATGCAAATTGCCAGCCTGTGCAGCTTTTGTTGTATAGTCTGCACATTTGCCTAAGTGCAATTTTGTGAGAGTGATAGGGAAATTAATGTCATGTCTGATTCTGTCTTCAGTTTAGAAGCAGAAGTTGAGAGTAAAAACAGCAAAGTGGTATGACTTGTATAACATATTTAAAAAAAAAAGTCTGCAATAAGTTCTTTCAGAACTTTGGGGATTTTCACATTTTTTTAATAATTTTCAGCTGCTAGAGACTGAGAATGTTCTCTTATTTTGAAGGAGCATTGGTCTTCTCTAAATAAAGCAGTTTTGATTTTATCTTTGTCTGAAGATACCTGAGCTATGTTGCAGCATCTTGTTAGAACAGAAAGCTCATTTTAACCAGGCTAGGGCTGGACACCAAGCTAAAAAGTAATAGCTCTGCAGCAACCAACCCTACTAAATAATTTGCATCAGTAGAAAAAATAATCTCCTTACTAGAGATGGATGGAACCAGGGTTTTCTATTTTGCAGAAATTTCATCCATTTTATGTTTATTCAGAAAAGAGCTAAAGCCAGAAAAACATGAAAGCTGAAAAACACCTTCATATTCAAGTTCAAGTCTGGGACAAACTTACATTTCAGGTCATTAAAAATATTTTTTTTAGCAAAAAAAAATTTTATTCATTAACTTTTAAATTGGGGGGGTGTAATTAAAATCTAAAAAAATGCATTTAAAAATTATAAGCTACACAAAAGTCAAAATTCTAATTTCACTGTCTCATTAGTAGTGTATATTCAAAATACATTTCAATCAAAACTTTAGTCACTTTAGAAAACTTCAGACCAACTCTAATCCAACTTCCACTGACTGTCATAAAAACTCTAATTCAGAGTTTACTTCCAAACTGTTATTTCACATCAAATACAACTGGAGGTAAAAAGTGCTTTTTTTTTTTCCAACAAGATACCTGTGAATTGATGCTAATATTAATTTTGATTTGAACAGATCTTGAAAAAAATGTTGCCACACCATTAGAGCAAGAAGACAGATCCCTGAGTAGCAGACAAGGTATGAATGAGCTAACAAAGCCAGAGAATCTTTTCATCTCTTTCCAGCCATTGGGGAATTTCAGAGAAAGATATTGTACTGCAATATGATTGTTTATACCAAAATTTTTGAGAGGGTTAACTACATGTATCAGGAGAGAATTTAAAATAATCATATTTGAAAGCCACACCACTAGTTCAGGGTAAAACAGGAAATGCCTTTGTCACTTCCAACACCGTGGAAAAAGCATCAATTTCATTTGCATTGGCAGGAAAAAAAGTTTTGGGACATGAAAAGTTGCGTTAACAACAGAAACACGTTTTTCCATTATATTTACCGTCCACTGTTCTCCAGAAAGGTGAAAAATAAACTTGTTTCTTTCCTTATTTGCTTCATCTGGCAAAACACGCTTCTTCTGCAGGTGAGGTGTCTTTCCATAAGTGTCCAGAATCTTCTTATCAGTGTCTACAAAGCCATTCTTGAGGTATTTTGATTGAGGAATACCTTTCTTCCGGCACTCTAATATGAAATTCCATTCCTGCTTTATCCTGAAATGGGGCCAAAAAGGGTTATGTAAATCAACTGAACCAATACGGCAAACAAGTCTTAACGTTTGGTCTTTGTTTGCACAAGTATTTAATAAAATATAATTATGAACCTAATGTATTCACCATTTTAAAAAAGGCATTCCTAGAGTCCTAGAATAAATTTTAGATTTCTAGATTTAATATAGATTTCAGATGAGCAGGATTTCATTTACTGACTATAAAATAGAGAATAAAACAGTGACTCCCAGAGAATACAAGAAAAATGGAGTCTGAATACGCTATCACAGACAACAGCATAAATGATGTTCTTTATATCAATAGGGTAGGAAACACATTCTCACAGAACAAGTTATATAGATAAACAAAAATGAGTAAGAAGTTAGAAATAGTCCCTTTTCCCTGACCTTTCGTGTTCAAGTATAATGATCTATTTTTATTTTTTAAATGTTATCTTCCAATATCACCTTAGTTAGTGAAGGTAAAGGTCAAAGTTATGACATGCTAACCAATTTCATATTCAATTTCAGTGTAACTTTAGGCTCAACTCCAGGGCAAATTTTACCTATATAACTTCAGGTGCAAACTCAATTTAATATAATTAAGCAGTGCCAGAAGCATGTGCTTTAATTTAGGAAAGATTTATTTCAGCTTAGTCAATTAAGAAACAGGTTGATTAACTGAAGCATGCCTTCCTTGTACCAAAATAAAACTCTGTAGAGCCTCTTGTCTCACAAATTTGATGTCATGCTTTGAATGATAGATTCTTGTGATACATATGATCCGTTTATTTGATCTCCACACAGAAATTTTAAGCTAAAGACTTGAAGAAAACTGACAGGTGAAGGGCACAAAATTTAGGATAATGTGGCCCCTACAAAAAGTGAAAAATGTTATGTCCTACAAAGAGAATCACATGCAAGATTTCAAAGTTCAAGTACGGAGTATCAAAACCTGTACACATATCCCCAACTAAGCATGGGACTTTCTCTAAAATGCTAAAATGCCAAAAAATTAGCACATAAAACAGAATGTCTCATTTTAACTCACATACAAGAAATCAGTTACAAACTAAGATACAGGAAGCATCTTCCAGTCTTGGTGAAAATAAGCAATTTTTGGACAATCATAGCAAGATACGATATAGAAACTGCAAGTCAGAATATATTTATGGGAACATGACTGCATAGTTAAAAAGTCAGATTTGACTCGATGCTATCAAAATAAATCTTTCAGGTTCAAAACTGCATGACTAAATAGGAACGGTATTATGGAGACAGCTGTAAACTGCCCAGCACAAATAGTGGCACTTGCTAAAACCTTAGGGTATATTAGAGAGGCTTGGAAGCAGAAAGCACAGCAACAGCAGGAGTCTTCAGCTATCAGCATACACACAGCACGTTGGCAGACAATGCACACTTTTGGAAACTACATATGAGTGTTTATCAGAGCAGCTAGCCTGAGAGACCACAAGAAGACCTGATTCAGTTGCAAAGAGAAGCACACTATACATGGGTCATCAGAGAACTGCAGAAAGACCTTTCTGTAATAGTAGCACAATGTATTCCCATGAACATCTTCATAGAGAGAAAATAAAGAAAAAATCTAGAAACATTTCAGAGGATGAGCTACATAGGACAGTGAAGATGTTTAAAAGCACTGCTCCCTGGATAAAGTGCTGACAGACTGCATAAAGGCAACTCATCCTCAGAGTAAGTACATACTAATGAAGACACTCTAAGGACCTTTTTCTCCCCTCATTTCCAAAACATACGGAAAAAAAAAAAAAGTTACATTTATGTTCCAATGAAAAAATGAGAAGACAGTATAAAAATTAGTTATAAAATCACAAAAAACAAGTGAAGTGACTTAGTGCAGGTATACAAATTAATAGGAATAGGATTTCTAACACATCAGAAGCAGAAAAGCTCTCAGAGAGGCAGTGGGAACAATTCCTTATCAAGATAAGAAAGAAGCGATGAAAGAATAGTCAAAGCAGTTATTGAGAGCTTCAGAAAAGTTACTCATCCTTGGCTTCATTTTTCATTACAGAGATCAGTACGTTCTTTACAAGTAAGCATCTGGAAGACTTTCTGATATTTACTGTCAACAGAGGAGGCTTGAAAATTTAAAAAAAAAAATATATATTTGAAGTAAATCTCACCATTTCTCTCAGTGTCTAATTGTGGACTGCTTTATACTACAGTGAGCTGGGATATTTTTAATGAGTTAGGAAGAAAAAGACTGGATAGACAGAAAACACTTCCAGCAACACATTCAGCTCAGTGGGGTATAGAAGCTGCAGTCACAGAAGAGTGTATCACCAATCCACAACATCTCAAATTATTTTTTCTGCATTGACTTGATATAACAAAGACAAAGAAAATAAGTTAGAGAAGACTCAGCTCTTTAGGCCATTTTGTGATCCTTCAAAATATGCAGCACCTGATACTTCTGGTTACAGGATAAGAGACACACAAGAACTTGATTGCACTAGGCAGCCCAACTAAAGGGTATCCCCTCCAGTTACAGTCTGGAAGCACTCAGATTACAGAATTTTTCCTATAAGCAGACATTAAAATTGAAACTCCTCTTTCAGGTGTTTTGACACGAGACAATTCATTTTGTGGTGTTGATCTTGTCTAATTTGTCATTTGAACTCCGGAAACCACCAGCACAACAGAGGGCAGACGACTCGAGTAATAGATCATTAGTAAAAGCTAGAAAATAGTACTTTCATATACTGTAAGAAAAATAAGCAGGCCCAGACCACCTACTCATCTTTTTTCCAAAACTCATCTACCAGTAAGCATACCTAATTAGCTATAAAATCTGTATTCCTGTGGGAGGTGGGTGGGAGGTGAAGTGTGCAGGGAGAGTGTGGGGAAAATACATTGAATCCTCAAGAAACAAAACAAAAAGATGTGAACTATTAAAAGTCAGGAGCTGAAAAAGACCAAAACTCTGGCGTTACTTTTTTTTAATCTTCAAATAATCCTATCTTTTCTTAGCAGTGCTGTACTGTTGTTTCTCACACCCTCCTTCAGTCCTCCACATACAGCTTTTCCGTCCCTCTGTGAAGCTTAATTCTGCATTACTGCCCTCTCATTCCCATGGAATTCTTTGATTTTTGTACTAAAGCAATAAAGATTTTCTCTCAGTGCATAATTCAATGCACTAAAAAAGCTTGTCTCCAAGATGCTTTTCTTGTATTCATGTCCTGGGTTTAGCACGACAATTCATTATTCTTCACTCATATGCGCAGGATGACTGACTCATTCCCCACAGTATAAATTCTACAGAGGTTAGAAACTTAACAGACAGAAAAAAAGAGGTTAAAAAGTCTAGCTCTTGATAAAAAGTAAGGTACTGAACTGTTCTACTGCACCTTAGTGCTCTGTGAGGTAGATCCCTGGAACACAAGAGCAGAGGGCTCAGATCTAAATTGTTACTCTCACACAAGGGATATACAAATCATCAAGAAGGGAGCTACATTAAAGATGAAATAATAAACTGCCCTCTGACACTTTATTGAAATAAACACATACAAAACACAAATCTCAGGAGGTCATGAGACACTGTCAGCTAAATAAAATAAAATGCACATATCAAAAACTGCTGTTAACCAAATCAGTCAGTGAAATGTGGACCTCGGAAGAAAAACGTGTTAAAAATTAAATCTGTTTAGGAATTCAACATGGATATCATGCACTGATTTGGAAGTCTTGTGTAAAATTTCGTCTTTACTCATGTATTGGATGATAGCAACATGCTCTGTTTAGCTTTAAAAGAAAGCTTATGGTCATGAAGCTAAGTACTATGTAAAGCACATTTTGAACAGATGAAAAGTGAATTAATAATTAAGCAACAAAAATGCATAATTTTATACAGTGCATCTCAGAATGAAAGTATGGTATATCCCAATGGCAGAGGTCCTAACAATTTACAGCCCTCGCTTGTACCCTTGGGGTGCACACTAGCTAAATGAGTCAAAATGAGCCTTTCTGGCATGAAGGTGTGGTTTAGATCAAGCCAGTATATTATCATTAAGCAAAGGTTGCAAAGCTGTATTTTGCAGGTTACAGCTGAGATCAAGTCAAAGGGATCTATTCAGTTCTATCATTGTCCAAAAATTGAGGTGAAGGTACTTTTAAAGATCTTTATGAAAATAAAGACCATTTTAAGTCTTCCTCTGGTGACAACCTTCAAATAAAATAGAATTACCACCACATTTGTCATATCTAGAGGCTATTTCACAAATTTTCCGTAAAGATACAAAAGGCACCTATAAATAACGTGGCAAACAGAAAAAAAAAAAAAACCCACACAGATAAAATCAGCCTTTAAATATGTTAATATACTTTCAGAGAAATTAAATTTCTGGCCTTAGCTTTTCAAAAGCTCCCAATATTCCAGGAACACGTTTTCACATACGACAAACAAATGAGTTTGTTACAAAATCACAGCCTTCCTAAAGTTTATGCCTTTTTGTTACTATTCATCAATAAAATATTTTGTCTTCCTCTAGAGACTGACCGAAAAGTTGCAAAGTTGCAGTCAGATTAAAGTAATGGCTACCATTTAAAATATTTAGAAAGTGGGTATTAGTCAAGTAAAGCCTAATTATGGGGGAATATGAACGGGGGGGGGGGGGGAGGGAAAGAAAGAAATCCTGGACATAGGAGCCAGGTGAGTTCTAAGGTTCCAGTATTTTACTTCAATCATGCAAATAAACCAAATAATTTTAAAAAGGCTGATTTCATGCTGCTAGTGTTTGTCAAAAAACGGTTATGGTTCATACCTTTATATCTGTAACACAAAAACACACCTCTCACTGAAGCAGACTGTAAACGGTATGGAAAAAGGGTTAATTCTGGCAAGACATTTCCTCATACATTGCTGTTTATCAGTAAGCTTTCAGGACAACATGCTATACAGGTCATCCTCATGGGCCAGGGCAATCCCAAGCAAAACTACAGACTGGGCAAAGAATGGATTCGTAG